GCTTCAGTTAATCGCTGTGACATCAACACCGAGCGTAGAAGGTTGGACTTGTGCAGCGAGATTCCGGCTGCTTCAGCCGCGTAATTGAGGTACAGCGCGTCGTCTGCTGTAAACTCATCACCGTCCACTTTGTTGGTAGCGCACACGACAGCCAAGACTTGGCCGCTCGCATCTTTGACCGGCGCACAGAGCACCTGCTTCGTCTTGAATGTCCAGAATTCGTCGTACTTCGGGTCGAACGCCGGGTGTGCTGAAGCTGAATTGGTGAGGATAAGCTGTCCAGTGCGCATGACGACGCCGACAATACCGTTGTGTGCTTTCAAAAACGTCTCATCGTATCCAGTATGAGGCTTTTCGCTGGCCTTATCTTTTAATTTGTGTCTGGTTTTGGTGCCTGGAAACCCTGCAATGGCCATCTCGTCTTTGCAATCAGTGACAAAGAGATAGTACTCGTCGGTGCCTTCATCACGCACGTATAGTGCAATGTGCTCTGCATGAAGCAGCTCATAAGCCACAGCGATGATTTGGTGGAGCACGGCTGAAGCGCTGACCTCGGCTGCGATGTTGCGATTGAGTTTGAGGAGACATTCGATGCGGCTCTGCATGGCTTGGTGTGCTTTGGCCAGTGACAAGTTCCACAAGGCAGTCCCCGCTGTTACGCAGATGTAGTCGAAGTTCTCTTTGTCGCGAGGATCAAAAGCTCCTTTTTGTTGCGCTCCCTGGTTACGTCCGAGTCTTGCGAGGGCAGTACGAGGAGTAGATGAATACCACTGAGAATCCGACGGGGTAGCTGGAGTTGAGTGGAGGCCAAGTTCTGGCAATATCTTGCGGGTGATGACCTGGAAGACGCCGACTAACACTCCGTGGACGTTGAAGATGGGAGCGCAAAGCAGAGCCTCTGGCTCGAATTTAAGCACTTCCATTTGTTCTTCAAACACATCAATAACCTCAGAGCCGCTGACATCCGCGACCTCGAGTGGTGTTCCTGTCTAAACAGTGCATAATGTGCTTAGACAAACGGGGTCGTATACAACGATCTTGCAAATATTTACCAACACAACACGACCAAACGTAGTGGCTGAGTCAACGAGAGCGCTGCCTTCCTCAATGAGATAGCGTTTGCCAGGCAAGTCCATTGGTGGATTCGAGTACAGCTCCACACGGTCCTTCTTCTCGTTGAGAATACCTACCGTGTACTTTTCAGCGGGAAGGACGTGCTGGGCTGCACGTAGTGCGTTGCTCACAACGTCAAGACTGTCAGACGCCCGTGAGATTTCACGCATGGCATCCATGAGCGCACGGAGCTGCCACAACACATCAAAAGAGACTGTGAGCTAAACATTTTAAGGTCAAAAGAATATCAACCAAATGTACATTTTCCTCTCGATCTGCCAGTTGGTTGAGCGTCTCGGCCTGCTCTCCGATGAGGTTGCGTATGCTATCGCCGAACATTTCACTCTTTGGACGTGGGCGTCTAGGCGTAGACTTTAATGCGTCGCCGGGTCGATATGGTCGGGTCTCCATGCGGGACCCAGTGCAGCATTCCAGTTGGTGTTGTCGTTTGAGCAGCTTGAGCTCAAGCTCCTTCGCCTCCTCCTCCGATTGTGCGAGCTCTGCCACCAACCGACGGTTCTCGTCCAGCGCCGCTCTGGCCCCGTTCATGGCCGTCTTGAGCTCCCTCACGGGCACCCGTACCAGCTTCACCTCATCATTCGACATACTGCAGGGAAATTGTAGCAATGGACAACGAAAAAAACTGCATCATGAGACGAGTGCTTCACAGTTACATGTATTAGACACTTTTTGCTCACGTATTTAACGCTATTTTTGAGCTCTCACTTGGTTAAAAAAGGGACTCGGGGGTAGGGAACGGTCGAGGCTTCGTTCGTATCGTACGAGACTTCTGTATACCGATAGATTGCAATCTTTTATAAAAGTGGCTTGTATGTGGAATCAGAGGTGTTATCATCAAACACGGTTTTTAATGTAAACCACACAACATTACCTCCCTGTGAATTCCGAACTTGCGGACTCAAGATGGACGACGAGCAGCTCTTCGGCGAAGACACGGGACGTAGCTTCGTGTCGAGCCTGCTCTTCTTACCCACGC